ATGGGAGAGTATAACAGGGTAATTTGGTATTATCAAATGAGTTGATAATACTGATTTACTGTACCAGGAAAGTAAATATTGGTGAATTATTTTTTTAGTATATATCACATAGATACCAAAAACTTCTGTTTATTTCAATATACCAAGAAATGGTTGTACATTGGCATGTGATTTTGTCTCATTGGCTGCTTGTAGGTGAATAATGCTTGCTAGCTAATCAGCACATGCAAAAAGCACTATTCAGTTTTTTGGTTTATACTTATGGATCTTATATTTTAGGGACAATTGATCACTTTATAGCAAACTTTTGATACAGGTATACTGAAGAAGTCAAGCACATCTCTGGAACCAGTTCCTGAATTTGCAGAGTCTTCAATTCAAAGAGCAGATTCTAATTTAGATATGGTCGAAAGTGAGGTGAGGGTTTTAAAATTTGGTGTAATCTCAAGTGTCTTCAATGTATGTTGACATTTGGTTTAATAAACATATCTCTGAATTTATAGGAGGTGCTTAATTGAGAATAACTTTTTGTTGGTTAAATATTGTAGGGATCTGTAGGAAGTTGCGCATCTCAAATAGTGCCTGAGACTTTGACCTTGCAATGTGGAGCACTTAGGTCAATCAGTTTGCGAATTATAGCTTCCAATGTGCCTCACACGCCGGCAATGGAAGAAGTTCAAGGATCTTAAAAAGCAACTGTGTGTCACATTATTCTTAACTGACTGATGAAATGATATGTACCTCTCACTTCCCAGGCAAAATTTCTGTAATTTCAATTTGTCAAGATCTAAATCTGTGATCTGGTTCATGATCCAATCTGTGATTCGATCTGTGATCTGATCATGGATTGGGTCATGGCTAGTTCATTTTAGTTCATTTTAGTCCATTTTAGTTCATTTTAGTTCATTTTAGTTCATTTTAGTTCATTTTAGTTCATTTTAGGTCATTTGAGGTCGTTCCTTGTTTCAGTAATTAGGAGTTAAGGGGTTGGTAAAATATCACAACAATTTATTTTTTTGTAAAGGAAATCAGGATCAGTTCAAATTGTTGTTGAGATCTACAAGGCTCATTTACGTGTACAGTATATTTAAAAACTTAAGATATTGTATCACTGAATTTTCTTATATGTATCTAACAGAGAACATCAACACCACATGAAGAACAACAGAAATTCAAGGCTCTTTGTGAAGGAGTGCAAAACTGCCTGGCATTATTTCAGACTTCCCTTTCAGAGGTCAGTAATTTTAAATAAAAATTTTGTAAATATAGATACATGTCATCAGGAATAGTAGTGTGGCAGTAATATGCAACAATTAAGCTCTTTTGCCTTCATTAATGATTATTGTTTATGGTCTTAAGTGGAATTGGGATAATGTTTGTATAGAACATATGATATTGCACAAATTTATGTTCTTTTCCAACC